AGAGAGAGAGAGAGAGAGAGAGAGAGAGACTGCTAAGGTGCCGCGTTGCCAAATGGGCTGATGGCGGCCCCGTTTCGACTCGGGCCGAGCGACACTGCTGCAGTGCCTCAATCTCACTCAAGAGCGCGGGGAAGGGCGCAGCAGCCGAAGCAATCCTACGCCATCCCCTCGATCTATCTCGACTCCACTCCACCATCCCATCCCCACCGTTGATCCACAGGGCATCATGTCCACGCTTCTCTCCTTCGCCCGTGCTGGGCCCGCACATCGCGCTGCTCCACGCGATGAGGAGGCCAACGTCGCCGTCGATGGCGCACCCTCCACCTCCTCCTCTCGCTGGTCGCGCCCCTTTGCCCGCGCCTCCAACTGGGGTAGCAACGTCGAGATGAGACCGCATCCGGCTCCTGAACCCACTCGCAACCCCGATCTCGAACAAGCCAACCCCGCCGCTGGTGGCCGTCACGAGCGCACCGCCTCCGCCCTCTCTTTCCTGTCGGCCGTCCATGTGCCTTCGCTCTCCACCCTCCGTCAGCGCGATCGTGACAACGAGCGTCGCAGGCAGAACCAGCGTGCCAACAACCCGGATCAGCCCATCGTCCCCGCCCTCGCTACCGTCACCACTGTCACACCCGCATCCCGCTCCGCCAACAAGAAGTCCAGAAGCAGCCGTCGCGAGCGCGAGGAGGCCGCCACCCTCTTCGGGCCCAACCTCGCAAACTACTTTGGCAGCGGCATCAGCAGCTCCGGCGCCGTATCCAGCCACGGTGCCGGTGTCCCGCAGCCGCCTCCCGTCACCAGCCCCGTCTCGCCCACCGCCGCTCCAGACTCGGCCATCGATCCCACGCCCAGCAATAATGCCATTGCCATTGCCACGGCCACCGCCGACTCGGCCTACCCGCAAACTTCGTCGTCTCGCCGCGTCCGTCTCGGCTCGCGCGGACGTGCCCGGGGTGCCTCGCTCTCCGGTCTCAGCATGATGTCCCTCGGCGCCGAGTCCGTCACCTCGCTCGGCGGCCTCAACCTCGACCGCTCCAACGACGCACCCGCACAGGCACACGGCATGATCCAGGGCTCCACCGCCGACCTCATCGACCAGCTCAACCGCGACGCAGGCCCCAACACCGACGGCCACATCGCCATGAGCGAGGGCGTCGACATCACCACCCTCCAACGTTGGATCCACCGCAGTACCGGCAACCCCGACGCGGCTCTCCCCGTCCCCGCTGCCGCCGCCGCCGCCGCTGCAGCCACGTATGGCCCTCCCGTGTGCACCACGCTCCAATCATTCGTCAACCTCAAGCGCAACACGCTCAAGCTTTCGCCCAAGACCAACGTTGACGCTGCCAAGCCCGCCGAACCCGACGCCAACTTCCTCCGCTCGCGTCCGTCGCTCTCGCTGCTCCCCACGCTCTCCTACGCCTCCACCGGCGCCGCGTCCACCGCGACAAGCCTGCTGCCCGAGCCCACCCACTCGCTCTACTTTGAGTACGACTGCGCCGCGCCGTACGCTAGCGTCCAAATCTTCATCCGCGCAAGCCGCAAGCACGGCAGCTGGCTCAACTACCAGCCTCCCTCGGCCAACACCGGTGACCCACTCGCGCACCCCACCAATCCCGACGGCAGCCCGGCGTGGCTGG